AAAATAAATATGACTCTGTGTGAAAATTTTCTTTTTTGCTTTTATTTTAAACATCGTAATTATCGGTATTTTATAAAATATAAAATATTGATATACGTACGAAGTAATGTATGTCATATATGTTTGTGTGTTTCATATAGAGTTATATATAATTATAATTTAATTTTTACTTTCAGGTTTAGATTGTCGCGTCGGTTTTCTCTTAAAATTCCTTTTGCCGTTTATTTTGCGCAACGATCAACGTTCGAACGTTTTGCAATTCTACGTCAAAAGGAAGGTTTATCCTTGTATTGATTTGAAATAAATTTTTACGTAAAGGAGGGTGGATGGGATCGTGGATAGGGTGGGTCTCCAATTCGCAGCAACCTCCACGTGGTGAGACCTGGCAAATCATTATTATTTACTATATTATTCATAATCATATCACAGATACGGTTATAAATTTTATAGTCAATAATATGAGCTGATTGGCTGCGCACGCGATTATTTTTTGATTATTAAGATTTTTTAAGATATTAGTCTTCGTTTTTACTTTTAAATATCGTAAAGTATCATTTATTAGTTTGTTCACAAGAAGCACTCATTAAGTTTAATATATTTAATTTCTCTGTGTGAGCAATGACAATTTCCTTCTAATTTCTTTTTTCACTCGCAATGTGTTATTGGCATTATATTAAATAATATTTATGAGGTCTTTTCCCTTATATTATGAGTAATTTGATAAAAAAAATGATATTTAAATGAAATGATGTAAATAGAATAGATTTAGATAAGAATTGCTTTTCAGCGCCATCTTTTAAATTTTTTTAAGAATATATTTATACTCAAGTTGAGTTTATACTCAAAAGATGGCATTGATTCTCAATTTTTAGCTTCCCTTATCCCTATCTTTGAAAACATGTTATCAACAGTCAAGAGATTTCGTGATTAATTTTGTACGTACTTAGATTATCACGTTAGCTGGCGTAGAAATATACGAATCTTTTATTCTATTTCTCATCTGGTAAAACTTTGAATTTATTTCTCATCTGTGGATATAGTATTTATTCTATTTTATCGATTCTTGATACATGGAGTATACACTCTACTTTATCGATTAATAAATCCATGACAGACTAATTTTAAAATACAATACATATAAAAAAAAATCTTTTCATTATTAGAGTAATCTTAATCTTTTATAAAAAAGATGAAGAGTATATTAAAAAATGCATAGTATGTTTAATCAATTTGTTTAAAAGAAATTTTTATACTGCAATTTTTATACATTATTTTTTTTTTTATTTTTATATTGTTTTTCCATATAATATTTATTGGAGCATAATTTTACAAAAGCCAATCATTATTTTTAAACAAAACTTGTTAAAAGCGTGAAAATCATTTCTGGTTGGAATACAATAGTCCATTTAAACAAATGCTGTATGTTACTGATATAGTTAAGTAGCATCGTATATGATGCTACAGAATGGCGGCAAGATAAGAAAAGCATAGTCGATATAACTCAGAATGCTTTCGAAATGTATATGACATCTGTAGAAGAACGACATTGTATAGCTATGCTACTCGCGAGATAAAAAGTAAATACCTATTTCAATAAGTATCACGATGAATTCGAATCAGAAGATAAATTCGAATAAAGAATTTTCTAATGTAGAATAATAATCTTTAATTATGATTTTTTTCCTTATTTATTATTATAAACAAAAAATTTTCAAATAAAAAAAGAAATAAAAAATATAATTTTTAAAAATTAGGAAGTGACACAAATTGTGATACTGTTTTTAAGTACATTACTTTAGAATATAATCATTAGAACTTTAAGTATGAGAAAATGATTTGTATGATTGCATAGCTCTTTTTCCAAAGCGATTTCTAACAAATATTTAGATTATGGGGATAACTTTCGGATTTCAAAATTGTAAAGATTTTTAGATTCGTATTTTTCATTAACATAAATTTTGAAATTTCACATTCATGGGAATTGCTGTTTTACAAAGTTTATAAAGTCGGTAAGTTTGCGTTAAAGTTGAGTTCAATGAAAAAATTTATTTAAAGAAATGATAAACATGACAAAAACACTTAAATTCCCTTTAATTCGATATATTATTAATTAATATTGATGATAAAATTATTCGTAGTTTATTTTAGCGAATTGTATAACGGCCTGATTTTCTACAACATTATTTTCTTTTAAATTCTAAACAATCGGTCGAAAGTGGAGCACTGCTTTTGTTTCATTTTTGATTATATATAGCTGCCAACATCCTGTTCTTCGAGCAGTCAAATCTTCGATGTTGTACCTCTCATTTTTCTTTAATTAAATTTAAATCTACGATTTATCTACATCAATTAACAAATTAACGATGCTTCGATTCAAACCGCTTAACATAGAAAGAAATATATTTCATTTCTACAAATAAATAATCAATATTATTTTTAAATTTATCACCTATTGTAAATATCTATTATATTTCCGTGTTATGTTGCAATTAAATAATTGTAATATTATTAACACATTGATGAAATCGATGATACAACGTATGCGTCATGAGAATTTTTTTATTGATTGCATTACGCGTTGCATAAAATTTTTTCAAGGAATTTAAAAAATAAAAAAAAAGAAAAAAATTCCCACGCATCCGGCTTTTCTTTTGCATACAAGTGTTGTCGATGTGCACAATAAATTTTGAATTTTCGTTGCATTTTTCACCTGTTTTACAACTGTTTTTTCTATTTATCGAAAATCAATGTATCTGACGTCCTCCAGGAAGTATTTGATTTTTGCCATTTCGAGTGTTAATTAAACGTTATATTATTCTAACGATTTTTGAATTTTATTATTACTTAATGTTAATTATAATTGAATCATTGACACGATGACGACAGTAAATTTAAATGACGCGGGTTTTTTTTTTTTGAATGGAAAAATTCCAGTGGAAAAAATTATGAAATTGAATGTGCACGGGAATAAATTACCGAGTTCACTTGGAAATAAACTTGATGGACAAATACGATGTCCGAGTGCGGACCGGCGCAGATGTTTGTGCAGTCGTGCAATTTTGCTGATTCTGCGAAACTTTCGCGAGATATTTACTCTTCGAAGCGACGCGGTAATCGAATAGAACGGCGAGTCTATTCAATACGAGATCAAAAATATATTCATAAAATGTCGCTAGGAAAATCAATTTTTCCACACAATTAAAAACCATTTCTTTATAATTAAACGCTAAACGTATTCTATGACGTATGGTTGATTCAAAATTTTTCACTCATTGTTACTGCTCTCGTTTTATAATTTTATTATAATTCATATTATTATTGATTCAAAATTTTTCACTCATTGCTCTCGTTTATAATTTTATTATAATTCATATTATTATTCGTTTAATTATAATTTTTTAATTTTTATCTTTGGACGAGAGAAACATACGTGGTTTGATTTATTCATTATTATCGGTATTGGTTTAGTGATAAATATCGAAAGACACACATTTAATTGAGTTGTGAATGTATTTATGGTTCTTTTCAAAGAAAAGAATGCGGTTAAAAAGAATCATTTAAGAAGGGGCATTGTTTTGTATAATCGTTGATGAAATATTTGTACGATTGGAGAAAAAAATATGAAGAAACAGGGAAAAATTAAAATTTCTATTTTATGACACGTTTATATAGATCGATGCGCGATATGACAATGTAAAGTCAATGTAATTGCGAAACGTTTCGTTCCTCCACCGTTAAAATAAAGCAAATGAAATAATGGATAAAGTTTTACACGGTATAGAGTTCAGGAACAATATTGCTTTTAGAAAGCAATATTTCAACGGCTCGTAAACTTTCTTCCCGTCGTATCGTTAATCGGTTTCCGTTTCGAGCGTAGGCGGTTTTATTGAAAAACCACGCGAAGATTCTAAATAACATTTATAAACATTCTTCGATACTGTAATTTCGTAATCGTTTCAATCCTTGCTTTAATTAATTACGCATTATTGTAGAAGAAGAAGAGGAAAAAGTTTGGAACGATATTATGGTTATTTCAACATCGAACACGTTTTATATTCAGGGTATTAATATATTCGTGAAACATCTTTGAAAAGTGGACTCTGGAAGCCAAAATAAGTATAAATATGTTAATGTCGCAAATATGTCGGTTCAACCATCATATTTATTAAGTTACGTAGCAATTTAAGTTCGATGGAGCAAGAACCTAATGCAATGACTATGTAACGGAGAAACTTAATAAATCAATCATAATTTTTGGTACATCAATTTTTCCACGACATATACTTTATATAAACACAGCACAATAATATAAATAATCGCGTATATATTTGCGTTAAATAATGTACAAAAATGATTATATATGCATGGCAACACTACGTATACATTTCAGAATGAAAAGACATTGTGTGCTCGGAGTACTACTATTGCACGTGTATTGTATTATTCATACAACTAGGTCAACTTAGAAGATGCAGAAAAAGAACCAAAAAAAAAAAAAAAAAGAATAAATTTACAAAATTTAAAAAATTAATACGAAAATCTTTGAAATGTTTTCATATACGCATTTTTATTAAGTTATAATTTGACTCTTTTTTATACGATTTTTTCCCTCGTGAATTACAAAATTGATAAAAATCTAACGGGATTAAAAAGACTTGCATCGAAGATATATCATTACGCGAGATTCGAAAGAAATTAGCCGATTTTCAACAAACTGTACGCGCTTTCACAACGGCCTGTTCCCCGAAAAGACTTTGTTCGGTGAAAGAGAAAAGGAAACAGGGGGCGGGCTTCTTTCTTGCGCATAATAATCTGGTCGCATCCACGGCCCCAACAATGAGGATCGATAATTCGGAATGGTCGAGTAGCCGTGCCGTTGAAAAAGATTCGCCAACGGAAATCTTGCAGCCACCGGGCGAAGAAACACACCGAGGCAGCGCAACCTCGTATTTCAAAGGATTCCATGACAATTCACCCTTCCCGCGAGAGCTTTGTTATCGCTTTTGCCTCTCTGCGGGTACCTGTTCGCTTTCCACCAGACATTCTGGGTCAACATTGGTCAAACTATGATCCTCGTCCTCTCATCAATTGAATCGAAATAAAGTTTCTTTCGAGCATCATGTTTCTCTGTTTAGTTGTGATGGCATACGTAAATTAAGCTGAATCTTTTTTTCCTTCCTGTTCATGATTTTTAATAATGGACAGAGATAGGTCTCTCGATAATGGCAGTTTATAACTGTTGTAAACAAGGATTTGATCGAGAAACTTTTTCGCTTGACTATTTTTTTTTTTTTTAGAATTTATAATAATTTATTTATTCTTCATATTTCACAAATACTTGTTCAATTGTTCTACACCCTCCAAGTTAATCTCTGTATCCTGTTATTGCAAGGAATAGGGGTATTGATGGATCCACTAAAAGATCCAAAACAAAACGTTTCGAATGTTGAAATCAAATATGAATTTGCTCATTGACAACATATTATTTAATAAAATAATTTTTTTGTATTGATTGCTGAGTTTAGCCATTTAAAATTCCACATTAAGGAAACCAAATATTCAATTATATACATTTTATTCAAAAAATTTCAAAAAAAAAAAAGGGAGAAAGGAAAACACTCGTTATCGGTTCACTAATCAGAAATGAAGAGATCTCTTCTTTTTTTTTTTTTTGCCCCTTGGAAAATTTTCTGCGTCGAATATGAATCGATACTCGACGCCCGGAGCGCCCTCTAGAAATCACTAAGTCTGGAAAAAAAAATCTCTCGATGTTTCACATATTATTGAGTGTTAAAGCAGCCCGGTGAGAAAATTCGAGGGCACAGTTTCGTGGACGTGCATGAAAATTCGATAAATTTCAATTTCCGACAAATAGCCTCGGCCAAGGTTCATCCACTTATTTTGCCTCCGATAAATTTTCAATATCCACGCCTCCATTGTACGCCAAACGTCCCGCTCCATCCCTTGTACCCACCCTCTCTCTCTCTCTCTCTCTCTCGTCCTACTTCTTCGTACCGTACCGTACGGTAC